GGAGGAATGGCTGCTGCAAGGCTGCGTAGCTCTGGAGATTGGTGGTGTACCTGTGAATGCTGTGCCCCAGTGCCCACAGAAGAGGAATGCCTCTGTTGCAAGGAATGGGACCGGTTGCAGCCTTATTTTCAAGGTCTGGATGTGACCGAGGACGAGACACCTCCACCTGGAGTAGTATCCAGCTGGGCTTTATCTAGAGCTGGCGAGATATATTTCGGCCACGCTTTGTACCTGCACTTTGAAGCCCACCCTGATCACAGCCATTTTATACTTTTTTATTATACTGAAAACACTTCTCCTGTAGAGAATAAAATCAAGTGTTTATACATGTGTGGTGTTGACTGTTTCATTTGGAAAGCTGATGTCTCCATTTAGAGTTACAGACAGAATGAAGGGAACACTGGTATAAAAATCTTGAATTCAGGTGCTGCTGCTTCCTGAGAAACTTGTATAATTAAAGTATTAAAAACCAAAGCAGATTAAAGCTCACAATCACATCAGGAGTATTTCATTAATCGACTAATCTTTAAATCTGCTGATATCAACAGTTGGGTAGTTTATTGTATAACAAGGTCTAATAAATAAACTCTATGTGTTTTGTTTGCAGTGATCTGACCTGTCTGATTGCTTTCACCTGTGTGTCGTTATCTCCCCTGTCAGAGTGTATATAAGTCTGAGTCTTCCCTTTGTTCTCTGCTCCATCGTCTTGTCCTGCATGTGAGCTTTCCAGTGTTCTTCCCAGTGTGTCCTCCTCATGAGACTGACCTGTTGGTATTTAGACCAGTGAGTTTATGCCTGTTGATTTGGATACCTCTGCCTGTGCTGACTGCCCTTTGTGTACCGACCCTGACTGGATTAAAACACCCTGAACTTTGGATTTCCTCTCAGTCTGCATGTGTGAGTCCACCATTGTGTCTGATAGAGACCCTGTAAAGGTTGTGTGGGGGGGTATTGAATGGATATATGGAGAGGTGCATTGTGACTTTGGGGAGGGAACATTGAACTGGGACTTGGCTGCCAATTATGCGGGGATGGGTGTGTTTTCCCTTCTTGTGCTTCCATTCACAGGTGAACTGAGTCTGGTAATCAAGGCTCTCCTGTGGAGAGGCCGAGGTGATAAAAAGGGGAAGCAGAAGCTGCGCGGAGGTTGAACGCACGGCTGTGAGACGAATGCGCTGGAGTGAACGGACACGGAGACATCTGCTCGCCTTCCCTGACGCAGAGAGAGAACCCCCCCCGCCTGGCCACCTCACCTGTTTGAGAACATTTTTTTTTTCGCCTCTACCCTGATAATTTTGATTGACATTTTTATCTCTTGGCCACTGACTGTCTTTTTTCAACTATTTGTTATTTGGGAACTAGGTAATTGGATGTGGGGAGGGGGTTAAAGGGGTCTGGAGTCACAATAGACGTTTTCTTAAGACCCGCTCTATTATGTGTTGCCTGCATGTGTGTATTGGATTTTTCCTTTAGTTTGTGTTGGTTGATGCATTTATTTTGCTGTGACCCTTATTGCTTTTATGGATTGCTTTGCTGTAGTGCAGTGATATACCCAGGTCTCATTAATTGTCTATTTTAAGTGGCCAAATTATTTAACTGAAGTCCCCCTCCTCTCCTCGCTTATTCACCAATATTACTGGCTGAAAATCTAAAGTCCCAGACTACTTCACTCTAGTGAGCCGCAAGATTTGATTGTATCAGTTATTATTGTTTCCTGTAATAAAGTGTAACTTTTTACCTGCCTCCGTGGTCTATTGGGGATTGAAAAGAACCTACTTATTGTGACACATGCATACATACATTCTTATCTTATCTGCACCTCTGTATGCTTACAATCATGAGCATAAAAATGTGCACATACGTATACACATTCAGATTTAATACAAAGATGAGAAGCAAAACCAAGGCACAAACGAACAAAAACAAAACAAAAAGGGGAGGGGGGGGCGGTGTGTGTGTGCTCCAGTGGTGAGCAGAGGGGGAGG